AACAAACAACACCCTTTCTCGTTGCAGATGTTGTTGTTGTAATTGTTGTTGTTGTTGTAATTGTTGTTGTTGTAGTTGTTGTTGTAGCTGTTGTTGTTGTTCACATTTACTTTGTTTACTTTCATTTCACTGTTGTCATGATTGAAGTTGTTTCGACTGCCATCTGAGGAAATGTCCAGAGTGTGTGCATAACTTCTGTCCAGCAGTGTCAGGTAAGAATCGATCCTGTCCTTTTCAAATTTTGAACAAGTCGAAGTTGAAAAAAGTTTGAAACAATGTCGGAATAAAATTGATTTTTCAAAATTACTCAACTGAAACACAACGATATAGATTTTGTTATTAATGAAAGAAATTATGAAAAAATAGCATATTTTCATTACAAAATGACGATTACGAAGCACGAAACCTTTAATGTGATGAAACCAGAATCATTATCATCGACAGACCACTTAAAATAATCCACACAATTACTGCTGCCATTGTTGCTAATGTTGTTTCCAACTTTGACCAACAGCCCCTCAACGTCAACAGTGTTGTCTTTGTGTTGGAATGAGAAGGCAACTTTTTGATTTGTTGCCACTAGCATCAAGTTAATCGCTAAACATGAAGTTATCGTTCCATCCTTCAAAAACAATTAAAAAATTAACTTCCAACATAACATAACGTACTGCTATAATATACTATCATATATCATATCATATGATATCATATCATGTAATATAACATCATATAATATAACATCATATAATATCATAATAATATAATGATATATCATATAGTTATAAAATCATAATAATATCACGATAAAAAATCATGTACTAATAAGATAAGAAAAATCAAACAATAATTTCCAATCTGTGACACCAATTAAACTTAAATTATTGAACTTCTATAAAAAAAAGACACAAAAACTCCGATCGGAACCTTATGTATTTGCCACAACTGGTTCTCAATTAACACACCATCACCTCCAGTTTGATCAACATAGCTTCTCTGATTGAAGTTCTGTTTGGAAGGCTTGTAATTCAAAGTGTTATCGTGGTTCCATGTTTTGCTGATGTTATTTGAGTCATTATCATGGTTGTTTCTACTTTCAATCTTGCAGCCAACTGTTACATCGTACGCCACTAAATGACCATCACCATCATAAACATTACTATCATCATTACCACAATCATCATCACTATTGTCACCCCTATCATCTCCATCACCATCTTTTACCACATTTCTGTTACCATCCTCAACATCTTCACCGCGATTAGTTGCAGCAGCAGCATCATTTCCTGCATCCTCTTCTTCCTCATGCTCCTCATCATTTTTATTAATAGCACCATCCTTGTCATCATCGAACTCACCATCGTCATAATCATCAACATCATTATTAACATTATTCTTCCTCTTTTTCTTATTCACACTGTTATCAGGATTATTATTATTATTGTTATTCTTCTTATTTCGTCTGGTTTTATTATTATTTTGATTTTTATCACGACTGCCAGCGTCGGCAACCTCTTCTCCACTCGTCCGCTGAGACTTGCGAACAACGACCTGCAACACCAGCGGACCTGTTGCGTCATCAATCAAGAGTCTAATTAACTCAACTCTACATGGGATAATTCAATTAAATTAATTACATCCAACGTACAATCATCGTAAAATTGATTCAACCAATAGTGTAATCGATTCAAAAAATAACAATGCAACAAACACGCTGGTTAATATGTACTTTTTATATCTTGACACATAGAGTCAAACTATTTACAAAGATTACTTATATCGTGATCATAAAACAACAGTTCTTTACAACAACAACACCAGTGTCTTGTTACAACTTCTAACGATATCATCTTCTTTTAAAATAACCAAAAAATAAATTTCTCAAAGATGAACAAACAGCTGTTAGCGAGTACGGGCTGAACAATGGAGAGATATAAGCACTGATCGTAGGTGAGGTCTTCAACCCGCCTCACCGGCTCGCCTCCCTCATCGTACAAACACTTGACTCTTGACGTTCCTTGGTAGTGGGGGTTCATGTTCAACACTTCGCTTACCCTGTCAAGCAGCTGTGGTTAGTTCAGTTGTTCATAAATGTAGACAATTGATTTGATGTTTCTGATTTTTATTAGAGATATAAAATGTAAAAAAACACTATTTGACAGAATATATAACGAATGATTCCAAACGTTTGAAGATCACGATATGTTAGAAATGATTAGCGGCCGGCGACTGGGATGTTATAAAATGTTATAAGGAGCATGTGCATGATGTTGACGATGAAGATCATTATAACCATATTGAAGTATTGAAGGTAAAAAGTTGAAAACAATAACATCATTGACATAAGCGGCGTATTCTGTACATTTCTACACTTATTATATATCAATTCCATTAAATAACATTCCGTCGTGAAAATTTCTTAAAAAATTAACCAGCGCAATTTTCCATTTTTACAAATAGTTAACGTTTTTTCTTTTGTTGACCAAAAACTTTGCAAGGAATATGATTAATTTGAAATGAATCGTTATAAAAACTGCTTTTCAACACTAAATCATAAGTTAAAAATGATCTTCATTATTATAATTGAGATGAACTTTTTTCCGCATTTTTTACAAACAACATTTTACGTGCTAGTGCATTTAAAAAAACTTATTTGGAGCTTCCAGGTGATTATGTAGAAATTTCAAAACTACTCTAGTTGACATTACGTGTGGTAAAACGTTGATTGTTGATGAATACAAAGACGAGGATGATGATCGAAAAACTTGGGTGGAAGTGTGAGTGATGATTGCAAGACTTGGTTGAAAGGGTGAATGATGATTGCAAGCAAATCCAGTACCATGGCCATTAATTGTTGAGCAACGTTTGATCTGCTGTCTGCCTGGTTTACTGATCTCTGCGCTTGTTGCATGTTGAAATAGACTGTTGTTAGGACTGCTTTGTTGCTGTTGTTGCTGTATACCTTCAGTTGCATGGGCAGAGGGAGATTATTTAAATATAAAAATAAAAATATATTAAATTGGATTTTATTATAACTTTGTATTTGGAACATTCGATTTGAATAACTGTTTAGAACACCAATGAACAGCAGTACCTAGCACCCTCTTTTATTTAACAAAGCCCTATCAACGTCACTTAAGAACCGACATAGGATTAACATATTTTGGTATTTATTAACCGTTTTTCATTAATTTGAATAAATGTTTGAAAAATTAAATAAATAATAAACTGAATATGGAGTCAACAAATATTATATTAAATTACAACTATGTGCAACAACTACCTTCAATCTCAATCCCTTGGTGCCAATGAGTTTGCTGTCGGACTGTATTTCCTTGATGTGCTTCAGCTTGTAACCGCTGCCTTCCTTCTGAACTCATTAATTCAAGAAAATTATTACATTCAAATGATATACGCTGATTCAAAAACACATGTTAATAAAAATTAAAACAGAAAAAAGTGATTAAAAATAATTATTGGCTGATTTAATAAAAGAATAAACATTCTTAGTTCAATAAAAAAATTGCATAACTTTTTTATTTATTAGACAGGCTTATTTGTTTAATAGATGTAACATAAAAAAAAACAAATCAATCTATAAAGTGATAGCAAGTAAAAATACGTTACATACGGATTCGTTGGAATAATCTTTCATCAACTTGTTCATCTGTTCGTTCAGTTGATCGAGAACATCCCTGATGTCTCGCCCCTCACCACTGACAGACCTCAGCTCTTCGTCCAACTCCCTCGTTGACATGGACAGCAGTGAAGTTATCTCCGTACAATGCTTCGTTTCTTCTGATTTGGCTGCTAATATCTGATAAGTGGGTAATGCATTCATTTCAAAAGTACGCGAATTAAAAGATACAATCGGTAACACATCGGAAGTTATAAACTGACAGGGAGTTTGAAGCCCTCCTTTCCCGAAATATCAATATTTTTATATATTATATTAAACATTTTGTTGTTCAATTCTAACCAGACTTCTCAACAAAGTTCGTATGAGAATTGATGCTCAAGTTGAATTTTAGCTCATTTCTCATTTTGGTTGAATTTGGATATCAGCTTGATTAAAACTCATACAATGTGATACTGGAAAAAATATTTCAAAGGCCAAGGAGTGATCTCGAAAAAATACAATTTTCAAAAACATAACTTACATTTTTAACCCTCAAATAACGAATGCATATAAAACTTTCAATTTAGAAAGAGTCAAAAATCAGCCTATCATTAAAGACCCTGCAACGATTTTGACTCGCACAACAATTCATTTCTATAAGACGATCCACAGGCTGCAGTTTCGTCAACATTTTTCATTGGAAACAATGAAATCTAAGCCTGAAATTGTATGCCCAACTCCTACACGCGAAACCAAAAAAGTTATCAATTCATTTTGTTTACTCAAACCAAAAATGCTTGAAACTCCAAAAATTAAAAAGCTTGCAGACATCGACAAAAAACATGGCAAACATTATCCTTTTTGCGTGTGGGCATTTCATGTTTGTATGTTAGCTCGGAAAGTTTCAATCAATCTCCGCGTGCATGTTTCAGGGTTGCCATAGAACGTTTGTAAACACGTCTCAGGTTCGGTAATAAAGTTCAAATATTCATAGAGGAAGATCATTTGCGTGTTCATCCCAGTGAGAAGTTATTCGTTTCGACAGTGTGAACGCACAAACTTGCCAAATAATTTGTTAACTCATGCTTTTTGTTCCATTTGAAATATTCTCGTTCAGTGTTTGGCGGTCCACTAAATTGGTTTGCACAACAGTTTGTACAATATCATATTTAAATCACCGTAAGTCAGTTTATATCTTTAGTAACTATTATACAACAAAATAAACCTCCACAAACAATATAGTATAAATGTAAGAAAAACTACATAACAAAAGTAAGTTATTGTTTTGAAGAACTTTACAACACAACCATAAGGACCTGATGTTGATATTTCATCCTGTTCTTCAGCTTCAACTTCAAAAATCTGAGATCAAACATTTAACACGATAACATTTATTTTCAATGTATCAAAGGAATAATTGAAAAGTTTCAACAAAGTTTAACATCGAACGCAGTAACGAAGATAAAATATTTGACATATGTTTATAATGTTAAAAGAAATTAAGAAAAAAACATTTCCAAAATCAATAAAAATATGTACATATCATATATTTAATATATTTTGTCACAAACAATAATAATAATGAAACGAAATATTATATTGAATTATAATTAAATATAATATTTCGTTAAATGGAACAATGAAATGACTCAACACCAACGTACCTCACGAAAACACTCAAAAAAGTGAAGACCCCCCTTGGACTGAAGCCCTCACCCCTGGACACCCCACATGGACCATGCCACCGCACTGTTTGTCGATGTTAGGCACCTATCATCATCCTTTACTCCAAACAAACATCGTTTACAAGTTTATTATTGAATATTTTAATGCAAGAAATAACGCAAAACGTAAAAGCAATAACCTGCAGCGAGCAATGCAATTACACATAGCCGGATCGTAGGTAATAATAATGTAATACGTATTATTTTATAAGAACTAATAAACAAATAATTAAAACCAAAAGTATCAAATTGACTATAATTAGTATAATAACAAACTAATAGTATTCATCACTATTTATTAGCACCATAAATGATTGCTAAAGAAGGAGAAGAAGAGACAACCGTTGTTCAAGTCATCAACTTGCATTCCATTCCAGTCAAAGAGCAGCCTGGCTCTACTGTTCAGTTCCAACTTTGTGGTGGCCACATCCAACAACTGTCAGTGTCGTTTCAACATCGTCGTGTCGTCAGATAACATTTCTATACTTTAAAACGCAGCTCTGACAAACGCAGAGCTACTTACATGTTATTTTATATATACTTAAACCTCCCTGCTACAAAGACTGTAGCAAGATCATAACAACAAGAAAGGGGCATTTTTATGGGTATACAGGGCATATTTCTAGTTTGGTTGGCAATTCTAGTTATTATCACTCAAATTTATACTTGAATCAACCACATTTTCAAAATTGGTCTGACAACAGTAACAATTTGTTGTTATAGTTGTCCAGAAAAGTATTAAAACACTAATAAGATATAGGAAAAAGGTTGAACATACAAGTCTGAAGATTAAAATCTTAAAACTGTTGGAAAGATGGGTAAAAACAGACTGAAAGATAGACAACAAATTAAAAACAGATAACTATGATGTAATGATGACACAAACTGTTGCAGGTGTACAAACCGGACAGTACTCACTCACTCACTCACTCACTCACTCACTCACTCACTCACTCACTCACTCACTCACTCACTCACTCACTCACTCACTCACTCACTCACTCACTCACTCACTCACTCACTCACTCACTCACTCACTCACTCACTCACTCACTTAGATACAAACCTCGTCCACAGCATTCAGATGCACAGCCACCTCTACCGAATTTTCACTCGATCCGTTCTCAAACAGAAGAAATCTTTTCTTTGGCGGCTCCAACAGACGTCTGATCACGTGGGTTTCCAAGAATTGTTTCATTTGAAGTTAATCGTCGTAACTACCATTACATCAATATAATCGTACAGTTATCGTTACCGCTATAGTAACTACCATTGCTGTTATTACAAACATCACAAACGCATCACGACCCACATCTTCCACCGCTACAACCACCACCACCACAACCACCATCCGAACTTACCTCAATCTTTTCGACATTTTGGCCATCTTAATTTTTTTCCTCTTGAACTTTTCACCCCAGACCAATCCATTGGCCGTCCATGTTGACGACATTTTAGCGTTCAGGTAGTCTGGCAAGGAAGTTAAAAAATCATCTCTTGATGCTTCTTCATTCGTGTATATGAAACTATTAATAAAATAACAAAATAATAACAATAATTTAAAAATAATAATTAATAAAATTAATAATAATGTTAATAATAACAATTAATAAATCATGTCCCACACAAGCAGTCACATTTATATTCCAAATCTGGATCAACAAACTTCTCCCCACAAGACACAAAGACATGATTTCTGTCCAGAACGTCATCAGGATGGAATATTTCGGAACCATCCCTATTAAATAATCTTCTAGCTGCTGAACATAGATCTAGCTTCGTTGTACATTTGTCCAAAAACTGAAAAGTATACATTCAAAGATTAACTTTCTATTGTCTGGATAGCAGTCCTTATCTATGGTCAGTGCATTACATCATTATCTAATACAAATGTAATAATTGTACCACACCATCACCACCATTGTCTCCTTCATCATCATAATCATCATCATCATTATTATCATCCCCATCATCCTCATCATCATCATCAAAACTATCATACATTTTTATATTTTTTGTCTATCAGTTATTGCAATGTAAATTAAGTAATGAACAAATGACCTAAATTATATAATAATAAAATGTATTTTATTTAAAAAAAATTATTTTTACTACTTAGATATGTCTAATTTAACTGGAATCATCTCAAAACACCAACAAATAAAAGAGGTAGCATATAGAGGAACAAAAAAATGTTTCAAAACAAATAAAAAAAGGAGAGCCAACTGATTGCAAATTGTGAGCCACAACTCTCACACTCCTCTGATGAGTCCCATTTTTGTAGGCCACTGCAGACAAGCCACCTGTCTGACTGCACAATGATTTCAGCGAACTTGCAACTGAAGTAGTGCAACATATTTATTTATTCACAACAAAAAATATTTTTTCAAAAATTTAAAAACTTGAAAAAACTGCAACAGAATTAGTAAAACAATTATTTAAAAATTGACATTTTTTTGAAAGAGAAAACAATTTTTAACCTGAATAGCATGATTTAGAACTACTTGGCCTGTTCAAAGTGGACCTGCAAAATAAATTACTGAATAATCAAAACTGGATAACTTTGTGTTCCCAGGCTGACTACATACAAAACAAGAAAAAATATTTTCTCATTATTTATGACCAAATTGATGAACCAACTGCAGAGGACCAATGATGCAAAAATGAAATCTCAACCAAAAACAAACCTGAGAGAGCCAGGAAGTTTTTTCTTGTAAGGTGAAGATGCACTTGACCTACATTTGCAATGTTTCATAATTGGAGCAGTTTAAGTTTGAAAATTTCCATTTATTTACAGTTATTATTTTTGTTATTTCAAGATCATAATAGAATTATATTCAAAAAAATTATTTTAAAATTTATTTCATTCAAATAAAATATAGAACACGATAGCTTTGTGGTTTTATATTTTTAGATTGAATTCATTTTATATTTAACTGTTTGAACAACAAGTAATTAAAGTGTTATTCAGGTTGGGAGTTAATAAATTTTTGTTATTAAATTAAATTTTAATTTTTTTAGATAGCTAGCTACTCATGTAAAATTTCAAATTAGTAATGAATTTTAAATTAAAAGTGTAATAAATTTAGTAGGAAGATTATGGAATATTCAAATTTGGCTCAAGTTAAGACAAATCTACAAAGATAAACCGTCTGATTAAATAATGATCGTTGTTTTCCAATCTGAGGCGGTGAAGCAACTCATCCAGCAATTCACCTTCAACATCAGCTTCATTTGAAGAACCACAACGAGAACAATTATTATTATTATTATTACTGTTATTATCTGAATCAACTGTTTCTATATCGGACATTTTATAAAATTTTAAAATAAAAATGTGTATCATTTGAAGAAGGCATTATTATTAATGTTTAGAATTTTTTTAACCCTCAAATGCAAATCGAAAGCAAGGTGGATTCGGATTATTACACATACATACATAGCTTCAAGCTCCATGGAAACGCAGGTGCGCTATAACAAGTAGAAAAAATATATATAGGAAGGGATTATTTAACATTTATATTTAATATAGTTATATGCCCATCTATATGTATGTAAAAATTTAATATAATATGTTATATTTCATATATTTCATATATATATATATATATATATATATATATATATATATATATTGTACCCGATTCAGCAAAAAAAGACAAAATATCTATCTAATAAAACAAAATTAACCTGCCTTTCACATGCATCAAGTACTTTGGAAGATTGGGTGATCTTTTTTTAAGGATTTCTTCATTGAATTGAAATAAATCAATTAATCAATCAATAAATCAATCAACCAACCAAACAATCAATCAACCAACAAATCAACCAACAAACCAACCAACCAACCAATCAACCAACCAACCAACCAATCAACCAACCAACCAACCAACCAACCAACCAACCAATCAACCAATCAATCAATCAATCAATCAATCAATCAATCAATCAATCAATCAATCGATCAATTGATCAATCAATTTAAAAAGGACGATTTCCGCGATGTTCAACAGCGCTCCTCAACAAATTTAACAATGAGATGGGTCTCGAGATCCGCTCTGAACTTTGTAAGTAATGGTGAAGTAGTCAGAGGAGTAGGTAAAAATTTGTTTTTTCTTTGTTTTACGTCACGAGGATGAAAAAAAATAATAAATTTATACAATTATTGTTTATGAAACATCTAAAATAAAATAACGCAGCTTGTCATTGATATATGTATAAAATAAATATCCATACCGCTTATATACCTAAGGTATATTTATACAAGCGGCATTTCACAACTGTCAAAATTTTTTATAAACCGGGAGCCTCGGAAAAGAATATTCATCCAAAACATGCAAGTTCTTATTTACGTTATATGAATTTTTCATTATAAATAATATACTACCCTAGCTATGAAAGTTCACCAATAATTTTTTTTTTGAAAAATTCAAAACTTTCATTAATTAGATGCATTTTAATAAAATGGTGAAACCTACGAAAAACCAAAAAAGTAAAATCATTAAAAACTGAAAAATATAAAAAAATCTGTCTCAAAATTTTTTCTTCAATAAAATGTTCCTGTTTCCACCCTTATTCTTATGTACGTTCCTAACAGGAACATTTTTGTTTTTTTGAACATTATTACAATTTGATGCTCTGTCATCCTCATCTTTCCATTGTTTCTGTTCTATAAACGATCCATGATGACATAACATGGAGAGGTCATCTAAGGAGGGATCATTCAACGTTCCTGTCAGCTCCAATAAATTATTTCTGGAACTTGATCGAGTTATCAGAACGTTGTGTGGTACTGGTTGTTCATCTCGCAACATCGGATTAGGCACAAGAGCTTTGTGAACCAGAAAAGTTTTTTCAACGGGAAGAACTGTTTCTCGTTTCGTCCCAACGACAAATGTTCCATCTTGATTGCCAGTGTTTGAACTCCTTTTGCACTTTTCAACATTTGTAGGAACTAGAAAAGTGTCATTTATTTTATGATCTTTCCGATATGCTTCTGCGTTTGATTGACTGGGATGGTCCATAACGAATGTTTCATCGTGTATCAAACCTGGAAAGAATTTCTTGGTCTCCTGTTTGCTGGAGCAAGGTAGGGATAGTTTGTAACTATCGAACGATTCTAAACCGAAATAAATCTTATTTCCAGACATGATCTCAAAATAAATTTTATTTAGTTTTTTAATTTAGAAAAATTCTTTTCGAAGCAAATATATTTCAGTCATGATATAATTCAAACGGTAGATTAAATATTTTTGAATGTTTCTAGATATAGCAGAGAATCTGACTAATATATAGTTTTAGACAAAACAGGCGCTTTGTTAAATATTATATTCACTTTGCTAAAAATTTGTGTATTCACGTGATTAACTTTAAATAAGTTGATTAGATTAATCGATCGATTCAGATCAGTTGCTTAATTTGAGACTTTGTTCAACCTATCGGTAACTTCAAAAAGCAGTAATTTTAAACTTGCCAATATTTCATCTATTTCCATTTAATTAATAAAATTAAATCAATCAAATTTTGAAATTTGTAATAGAAAATTGTAATATTCGGTTTCGCTCATTGATCCTGATAGAAAAACTAAAAGGAACATGGGAACGTGACTTTTTTTATTTTTAAATAATCGGAAATAATATTCGTCATTTGAACTACACATAGATACCGATGTCTTCAAAAGTATTCATGACATCACCAGCGATGAGTACGGTAACAAGTTTTAAACAGTTTACTGCTTATTGTAACAGTTACGCCATTGATGGCCCGACATAACTGAACGAACGTACGGTGAATGCACAAAATGGTCGGAGTCAGGCATCCAACCGGATGAAGATTCTTCAAAAATAAACTTGCACTTTGCAGCAATTATATTTCTATTTACATCGAGGCTCATGTAACGTAAAACTATGATTTTTTTATTATATAACTATGCATATTTTCAAACCATTATAATTTTTTTTACAAATTGAAAAAAGAAATTAAGTAAAAGAAACACTCACTATCAAAAATGAACGCGCGTTACACTTAATTTTTGTATCGCAAATTCATTTTTGGCCACACGAACGCTAAAACTAAGCCAATCAGAGTTAACCAGGATAAGACTATGAATAAACAAACTTAAACAAATTTTTTAATATAAACGCGACAATTGCGATTTCTTTCTACTGCATCCAGGTAACGCCACACAGGAAACTATCACCACACACCTGTAATGAATTATGAAAAAAAAACAACCAAGTAAAAGTATAATTAAACGTAGTACAGTATTACCGGTACTCTTAATTTTTTGCATTTTGTTACAAATAAAAAGCATTTCACGTTACAGTGTTTGGCTCGTTTGGCTACTAAAGCTTCTTTAGCAAAAAATTTAACAGTTTTATCCTAACTAATTGCTAGCTAGAGCAATCATTTACATTTGGACGTGAATCAATTGAAAATAATTCGAATATATTTTTTTTCAAAATGTATCACAAATTTAAGTAATGGCAAGTTTGTCAAAATTAAAAATAACTTCAAGCAGATGGGGCAGTTGCGCGCAAGTTTTTTAAGTGTTGAACAATTTGTTGTTGAGCAATAAACTGGCGATTACAACAAGGCTGAATGGTGGAGGAAAGGACAAGGATGATTGCGACGACGATTGTGAGTTTTTCAGTTTTCTAATCAGCTCGTTCATGTTTTTCGTGTTGATGTTACACAATGGACAACATTTTCTTTTGGGATAACCTCCATGTGCGACGTATCCTTTGCCCATAGTGGGAATATTGTACATCATGAATCCACCGTTCAAAAAAGCGTCATTCAACGAAATCTAAAATACACATATACAATTATTTACTTCAAAATTTGAGAAATAGTTATTAAACCAAATAATTGACCTCGTGCGTGTAATAAACTTCCACAGTCAAATATTTCATATCTACAACTTGAAACCCTCTGCGACTATTGTAGAATAAAAAAGGATTGCTCCTGACATTCAAATTAACCAGATGTCTCCAGCAAAACATATCAACTTCGGAATATTTCTGAGTAACAACTAAAGTAACGTAGTGATGTTCGTGGTGTAAGCAGTAAAAGTCAGCAAAATATAAATTTGTGCGCCAACTGTTCTTGTCAATAAAATATTGCACGGGCAACAATAAGCGAGTATCTCCGAATGGAGATTTACGAAATGGTTCACCAGAGGCGCTTCCAAGCTGCACGTTGGCCGTGAAAAAGGAACCATAAATTTTCCCGTTGATTGGAGATCTTTGATCGCCTGAGTGGTCCTTCAAGGTTGGCTTCAACACGTTCCCATGAAACTGTTCCACTCTTTCGAAATGTTCTCTTCTTTTATTGCGATAAAGATATAAACATGACGCGTGTCTAATCTTGCCTATGAAGTTTACGGCTAGCTCTAACAACATTTGCAAGTCATCTTGACTGTATCCTGTTATGAAAAAATCAATTTTATTATTTATTGTTGCCTTATTACAATTACTCGTTTTACTAAAATCCCTGGTCTAATTGGATAGCTTTTAATTTAAAATTAAAAAGTTAGGCAAGTACATATTTTGAAAAACTTTAGAAATTCCTTTAATTAGTTTTTCAGATACATAGTTGTCAATATTTTTTATAAAAATAAAAATTACTATCATATGCTTGATATTAAATAAGCTAGGTTTTATTAAAAAAAACTCATTGAAATATTCAATATATATAAAAATTCTAGTTATTTTGAAAAATTAAAATACCATACTCGATATAAATTTGATTTATTCACAGTTTCGCAAGTGAAAAGTTTTATAAAAACCATATCAAAATATTAAAAGATCATCATAAAACCAATGATTGTTTTAGACTTTTTTCCGCATTTTAGTTCACGGATAGAAAAAAAATCAATTATCGCCTAACTTGCACACAAGTCTTGATCGCTTCTCCAACCAGAGACAACACCCAACCCGTACCTGTCAGTCATTATGCTTGCATCGCCTGATTTTTTAAATACCTAGTTGCGTATTCAAAAATTTCAAAATAATTTGAGGATTTAACAAGGTAATCGAAGAAAAATTTATTTCAACTCCTCATTACAAAGATCACCAAAAGGAATCGAAATAGAAAGTGGGAAATTTCTATTTGAGCTATTAAAAGCACACAGTTGATATTATTTTATATCATGCAAGACATATCACGCTTGTCCATATACTGTATGTACGTACATAGTATATATATCATATAATCAGGTACGGTCGAACGCACTAGGTGTGAGCAGGTCGACAAATTTATATATATATATTAATATATATATATTTATATATATATATATATATATAATAAACAATACATATATATGCACAAATATTATTATCAACACTTTAAAAGTGCAAAATAAAATTTAAAAAATCTCAGAAGCACTTTCCTAAGCTCAGTTTCAACAAATATAACTACATTAAAAGTCGAACTTAAAAGTACAGATCTATAGACACATGCACACTATACATATGTAAAAACAAAAACGGAACATTTATAATCAAAGTTTAATTTAAAAACAAATTATTGCAGTTAAAACAAATAAATTTTCAGCATATTCTTAAATGTTAAATAGTTCAAAGTTGGATCACGCATATGGTCTTGGAGTCCATTTCAAACTGCAGGACCTCGATACCATTTTTAACTGAATAGTGCCAAGCAGTTAATAATCTTGAATATCGAAGTGCAAATTTCAGACTTGATATGTTATATGTTTTTCGACAGTCAGCCTATGGAGTTATTTCAGGATCTGTGACGCATGATCAAATTGAAAATCACCTACAACAATCTTGACCGCACGATTATGAAATGATCGTAGCGTCGCAGTGGACTTTTCTCGTAATCCATGGAACAAACTTTTGCAGTAATCCAAACGTGAGTGGAAAAGTGGATTAAAGGAAGAACCTGGTAAATTCGATCGAGTTCAACAATTTATATTGGGGTGACAGGTTACAGCTTTCAAACATACATTGGGATGACCACTACGAGAAGACTTACATGTCGCCATAACAACGGAGAACCAGCAATGCACACAGAACAGACCCAAAAAAGGTTAATAGAAAGAGAAGACTTTGTTAAAAGTACAAAGATTATAGATAGCATAAACAACACAAGAAAATTTCAGATCTTGGAAGCATTGTACATCAGAGACAAAGAGCCTACTATAAACAAGCAAGTAAAGTCATTATTTAGCTTGCCAACCCAAATGGTCAGCCAAATAACACACCAAAGAGACCAATAAAAAATCCTTTATTAACCAAAATAATCATTATTATATAAGCTACACAATCCACATTTAATTCAATCCTGATGATGACGTAAGTTTGCGTCGGGTTCGTCGAATCAAATCACTTAACATGACTTTAGAAAATCTACTGAATTTATTGAACTTTATTGATAAAAAGTTATTAAAAAATCATAAAAGAATTATGAAAAATTGAACAATGTGATCGCAGCGATCGATTTCAATAAAATATGTTTATAGAACTACACCAAACTTCACTAACATATATATATAGACAAAGATATATATTCTGTTGATGTTCTTAATATTAATTCGTACGGGTTTCATGGGCACGCGTATGCTGATGGTATGTATATATGTTTTCAGTCATGGTGAATAAATTAGTAAACTGTTGGATGGGATTTCTAGGTTCAAATTGAATCAATTTAAACGTTTGCAAAATATCCTTCATTACCAGAGGCGTGGGTGAGGGGACGCTTAATTGATAATTTTGCTAAGGTTAATAGTAAAATGAACAAAATACCTAAACTTATAAAAATTTGGACTGGAAACTATTTCAACCAAACACAACAAAATTAAGGTAAATTTTGCATGAAATATTAAAATATGAGTTTCATGAGCGAAACTTGTTAAAAATCGAACAAGCAAAAAAGATTGCCAAGTTTAAAAAAATTATGATTAAAGATCTACGTCAGAGCAATTGTTTTACTTTTTAATATTTGCAAGGAAATTACAGTTCAAAGTAAACACTAACTGATTATTACCATTATTCCCTTAAAAATAAACATTAATATGAAGTGCAGACCGGGCTTCACTGGTGTTCAGTTAACTATGAATTGTTTCAGTTAACAATTTTAGCCATTATAATTATAAAGATTTTATTTTTTTGTTGTTAACAATTTCAAGCCATTTTTCTAAGTAATTTTTTTACACAAAAATCTCAAGAAAAGATAACTACGTTGAAAAAATTAAATAAAATTTTTCTTAAAATTTCTTTTTCAACAAATTGTTCATATGGGTTTCTTAACAGGAAAGAACTTGTTTTGAACTTTGTTCAGATGTGCTCCTCTGCGTCTTTGTTGTTGCATTGTTCAGTGAACGATCCATGATGACAAAACATGGAGAGGTCATCTAAGGAGGGATCATTCAACGTTCCTGTCTGCTCCAATATCGGATTAGGCACAAGAGCTTTGTGAACCACAAAAGTTTTTTTAACGGGAAGATCTGTTTCTCGTTTCGTTCCAACGACAAATGTTCCATCTTAATTGCCAGTGTTTGAACTCCTTTTGCACTTTTCAACATTTGTAGGAACCACAAAGGTGTCATTCAGTATATAATCCTTCCGATGTGCTTTTTCATTTGATTCAGCTGAATGATCCATAACGAATGTTTCATCGTGTGTCAAACGTGGAAAGAATTTCCTCCTTGATCTCCTGTTTGCTGGAGCAAGGTAGGGATAGTTTGTAACTATCAAACGATTCTAAACCGAAATAAACCTTATTTCCAGGCATGATCCAAATAAATTATATTTAGTTTTTAAATTTAGAAAAATTCTTGTCAAAACCAATATATTTAAACAGTAGATGAAACACTGAAAAGTTTCAAGATATTGCAGAGAATTTTCAATATATATAGTTTCAAACGCTTTGTTACAGTATTCACTTTGTGAAAATTTATGTATTCCCGCAAGTAACTTTAAATAGTTTGGTTAAGTGAATATGTTGGTATTCTTGATTACAAAGTATTTACTTTGTTCAACATGACTTAAAAAAGCAGCAGTTAGTAACTTGCCAAAATTTTATCTGCTTTGATTTATGCCTGAAACACTTCGTTACAGCTTCATTACAGTGTTAGCTGTTATTATTTGCCTAATACGTTAGAAGAAAGAATAGCTTTGAATTTTTGTAAAATTTCCATATTAGTTAAATATTACACTTTTGAAAACATGAACCAATAACACACATTAACTTGACAATCTGAAATTTCAGTAGTAAGCTGAGTGGAATGCAGAAAATTAAAAAATATCCAAACTTCAATAATTTAATATTTTGTGATATCTTTACAAACAAATTGAAAAGAAATTGCAGAAAGCTCAAATGCTTATATATTCTTCATTAAAAATTATTTTTTAAACGTCAAAACGAAAATGGAACTGTTATGTTGTTGCGTTAAACAACTTTGGATCAAACAGATTCCATAATTTTTCAAATTCTTCTGAGAACTTATCAACGAACTCCGAATCGTTGGTTATCATGAGGTTCTCGTTGTTGCCAGTTGTTGCTGTTAACGTCCAATTGAACGATCCGTTGATGAGCAACTTTTTGTCAACGATGGCAAATTTGTGGTGCATCAAATAGGAAGAGGCATCATGCCGTGCTTGTATGCCTGCAGTTATACATGTTCAATTTCGTTCGTGCATTTGCAAGCAATCATTACAGTTAAGTGGAATTGTGTTCAATTTGGAAAAATAATCAAAATCTAGTCTGGCTAATGAAAGATAACTAAAGAATGTTGCCCACGTTACATACAAAACATTAGTTGTAAGATATAGTGAAAGATTTCATGGAGTATGTGAAATTGCTAATCTTGAACCTACAAAATTTAAAATCTAAATATAAGCTGAATATCTATATGCCAGTAGCGTTCATATTAACACTGGAAATAATTTATTAGAAACCCTGATGATGATGAGTGATGATGATGCAAGTGAGTGAAAAGATGATGACGATGATGAAGTTTGCTAATTTTGAAATTTATATCAGCAAAGTTAATAAAATGTTGTTTTAGAAAACAAGTTCAAAAAAATAAATATGAGTGGGCTCTTAAACAAATAACACATTGAAACAGCAGTTGAAATTACAAAAATTTTTATATGGAACTATATAAAACAATTTATTTAATTTAATAATTATTCATTTTTGAGACTGTACCTAGTATAATAAAAAAATATTACAAATAGAACTAAGAAACATTGAGTCAGCAATTATTTGACATAAAAAATATTTTAATAGAAAATATCTGCCATCCATAAAAGTTTGTTTGTTAAAAAATTGTTTAACATAAAAATTTTTTAATAAAAAATGAGTTTGTTTTTAGTTCTAAATAACCTAATAAAAATCATCATTTAAAAACTAAAATTCATAATAATTATTTCATTTGATAACTAACCAGCCTGCCTGAGCCTGTCAATTTGTGACGAAGATGCATCGACTTGCTCATCGTCGGTGATCACGCGAACGTTCACACCACTCCTGTGAAGATTGATCACTAAATCTCCAAGCTCAATGGCCGTAAATACATAAATGCAGACATCCAGCTGATGCTTGGTCCTAAACAGGCAACTGCACATTCATGAAGTCAGTAATAAACTTGCATAGTATTGAATTAATACCATGCTAGTTTATAATTTGTAAGAATATTTTTATATTAAAAATGAAAATTTTTTAATTAAAACTTAGGCTTAACTTAACTGAGAAGTATCAAAGTATTATAAAATAATTTCTAAAACACTTGACAGGAAAATAATCCATTAAAAAATTAAGGCTGTTAAATCTAGTAAAAAATAATCTCTGTTATTGATATTTATGTTAACGTTTTTTTTATGAAAATATACAATAATGAAATTCAGTTCTGAAGGGGAAAAATAATTAATTTAACTTTTAATTTAAATTAAAGATATTTATAGTTAGTGAGCATGAACTAAGTAAAGTTACAACAGCTTTAAAAAACTTTTGCCAAAAAAAGTGCAAGATTATTGATTAATCTTACTTTTTATTTTCTAAAAATTTTCAGCCAAAAAACCTTGTCAATACTAAAAAAGTAATAAAATAAAAAAAGACATACATATAAAATAAACTAAAGTGAATTTTCAAAAACTACAACACAACTGTTTTAAAATTTGAACTCACAAATAATAATATAATTATAATACAACACAAATACAGATACACAAACCAAACATGGTTGATAATTTCAAGTTTTATTATTTAAATCCTATTATATAACTTAGTATAGAATATTGTAAAAATTATGGTCTATTACCAACATTAACGCCAAACATTCGGTAGAATTTATAGAATATTGTAAATATATATATATATATATATATATATATGATAATAATCTATCTAAAAAAGGACAAAAATAAGAAAAAAGTAGCTTAACTTTTAAACTTTACTTTACTACTTATAAAAATAAATAATTACATTACTTTCTTTACTTTACAACAATCCAAAGAACATCAAAGTTTGAGACAGACTCACTGCAGACTGGTACCTGAGAAGTTGAGCAGAGGCGAATGATGGCTCATGGGATAAGTTGCATCTCGCTCTGGTGCATCCATTCCTGCTAGCGAATTTCAATGCACACGTCGGCTTCGGATCAGGAAAAAACAAAACTTTGAGAATTTTTTCATCGTTTTTGGACTTTTTTAAAGATTTATTACGAACATAATATGGCAATAGTTTTTTAATAATAATATATGTTGTGCATGACGTCAGCAGAAGTCCTAACACTTTTTTGAGAGACAGAATTCCATTCATGTTACGGATTTTAATAACGCGGGTTTGTTTAAGTTTCACTTTCTTTCCATTTTATAGTGATGGAAAGTTCTTTAAACTTTATCAAATACAAAACTAGATTTGTTTTTTAAAAAAAGGTTAGAATATTGTCGATATCACTGAATCGATTGATTTTTTTTGTAATTTTTCCCAATTTAATTATTGAGTTATTAATTACTTTTATCAAACACCGTTAAATTCTAAACCCGTTGCTTTTTACACTATCTCTTTTCATCTGATCGTACCTAAACTGACTTACACCCATTAACTTCTATCTCAGTCAGTCCGTCCAAAGTTTCTCTTATGTTTCTCTAATTTACATTTCTGCTATTCACAGATTAATCAAGTTTTCTATCTTTTTTCTCAAGGCATGGAACAATTCGTCTTAGGTATTACCCATGGATATATACCTATTACCATCTATTCCAACGAAACCAAGCGCAGTGTAGGTCCGGCATCTACTTCACCTCTTAGCTTCTCAGGAATCATTCGTACATGGAATTTACAGTCAATTATAATTTAAAAATATTTATATCAAAATAAAATTTGCAATTTAGTATAACCATGTATATTTACATCACTAGTTTTAAGTTTTATAAGCGAGTACAAGTCATTAATGCGTTATTTCAATACAGTTCAGGGCCGATACTTCAAAACTGTTCAAAACGAAAGAGCAAACACAACGAAAACTAATATTGGAAACTCTTTTAAGGAAAAATAAACAAAAAGTTATTAAGTTATTGACTTGATGGTTAGCGGAAAATATCAACGTCTAAAACTGTACATGTATACGTATAGAAATATATTAATACGCATATGTTTAAAAAATGTATATATATATATATATATATATATATATATATATATATACATACATAGTGAATAATCTTAAAATAAATTTATAAACAACTGTACTTCATTTAAAAAATTAAAAACCAACCATTTTAAATAGACATACTTTGTATATATGCATGCACAAACAATTTTAGACGTCTCAATAATAATAAAAAATAATAAGTATAAATCAGACAACATGCAACAAATATTTATAAACAGATGAGACAATCCATAGTCGATGCTGTTGAAACTGCTTAACAAGCTGCACACACGTCCATAGACTGTGTTTGTATAAATACAAATTAATTGCTCAATTATTATTCTGTTACTGACTACTTCTTTTTGGCATTAACAACAGCTACACTCTCCTCCTCGTCATCTTCGTCATCTTCATTTTTAATCCGTGCTTGTTTTCTAGATGAACTGGATATGCCTCCTCTCTTTCGCTTCGAGCCACTCATCACAAAACTAACATCAGAATCGTCAGATTCTTCAACTGTCAGACTGGAATTTGATTTGTTGACAGCTGACTTTTTGTTGTTTGGATTTTTTGGTGTTTGCAGATGCTTTGGAATGATTGTCTTGCCCTCCCTACCTTGCGACTTCTTCCACTTACTTTGCAGGTCTGACTCATGTGCTTGGCTCAGGTGCTCGTACAGAGCTGGTGACTCAATGAAGTTCAATGAACAGAATGGACAGCTGAAAACATCATTTGCTATCTTGACTGGCTGCTTAGGTTTGGGTTGCTGTGCTGGTGTTGGAGCAACAAGAAAACATGGAGCTGGTGGCTTGTTGGGAGGATTGGGCATTGATACGGGCATCCTCATTCTTACTCCTCCTGTTCTCATGGGCATCAACTTGGGCATCTGAGCGCTATCAGACTTAACTTCAACTGGCTTTGCTGGTTTAGCTGGAATCTGATTCTTATCTTCTTTTGGTTCTTCAACCGTATCGGCACTCAATTCTATTTCAATTTCATTACCTGATGTTGTCACTTTCGATGAGCTCACAGCAGAACTCTTCAACTTTTGCACCAAGAAGCTTGCATCACCAATTATGATTGTAACAGGGTCTGTTTGTGAAATGTTATCAACTAGTTTGCGATTTGTTGTTGACTGCATTGAATCGTCTTTGGTTATACTGGCCATCAAAGTTTGGTTGGGTAGGCTGCTAGCATCACACGAAGTATCCAAGTAAGTTGATTCATTGGCTGATATGTTGTGAGTTGAGCTGATTGTTTGATCTGCATTCTGACTAACCTGCACATTGTAAGCAACAAATATATCAATGCAACTTAACAGTAAAAAATTCAAATAATTCAATAAGTAAATTAGGCATTCATTTTTATTATAACTATATTTCGAAAGACAATAGAAATTTTTAAGTTACAGAGAAAAAATAGAGAATTGTTTTTCTAGAAAAAAAAAGAATATAAAAACATACAGAAACTGTATCTAGTGCAACATAAACACCAACTGAATCAGTCTGTTGAGACTGTGTGTTCAGTTCAATAAATGTCTGGATGGCAGTCTGTCGTTGGGTCGATATGTTGCAATCAGTAGATGTTGATTGCTCATTTACATTCAGTTCTGTTTGTGAATCATTTGGAAAGGACAACACAGTGGCTTGAATTTCTGAGTCGACCAAGTGGAAATAACTTGCATCAGTTTGAGTAATGTTTTCTTTTATTTCTATTTCTGTTTGAGATAACTGTTCATTAGTTTCAGTCGTGGCCTGCGATCCAGTGCAAACTTCCTGCGACATGCTAAACAGCGTCTGTATGTGAGTTTCCACAAAACTTTTAATTTCTGTTTGCGATTCTGATTCGCTAACTGCCAATTCAGTTTGGGCATCAATATCTTCCATGGACACAACATTTTGACAACAATTCTCAACCATTTCACATGTTGCTTGACATACAGAATCCTTTACTTCTGCAATTGCAAGTGAAAATGAATCAACTTGAGTGCTTAAATTGTAATCTGTTGCCACTTCTGCATCTGAAAATGCTTGGTGCACTCTGCATTCATCTGTCTGAACTTCTGTGTTATTCAATGAGACAATTGGTGTTTGGGTTCGGCAGTTTTGTACATTTATCTCTGTTTGAATTCTGCAAGACACCAAATCAGGCTGGTGCGTTTGTATGCGCTCATTGCGTGTTTCTTTTGCTCTGGTCTGAGTCGAAGTATCGGACAATTTCGGGAGATTTTTATCAGCAAAAACTAAAAATTTTAAAATTAATATATTAACAAATGTTTTAAAAATTATATTAAAAAATTATAGATGAAACAACAGGATGCGAAACTTACTTTTGATGATTAATTTCGGTTTTGAATCAGGATTCTTTTGAAACAAAATTTTATGGCACTTGGTTGTAATCCTAACATTATTAACAACATCTTGTTCATTTTCGATCTGACCGTTGTCTTCGACGCTGGGAAATTCTTCAAATATATTCTCGGCAGATAAATATTTCTCCGCAAAATTCTCTGGCAGTTCGTACTCGAACTCGTAAAACAAAACGCCGCCGACCATCTTAAACTAAAATGTGTAAGCGAACTTAAATCTAAATAAGCAATCCAAACAATAACAAAAGCTAAGCGGAAGTTAGGGATGGATGCATTGAAAAATCGAAAACGCCACTTGGAATATACGTGTGAATCATTTACATATATACAGTAGAATAGATTGAAAATTATTTACTATTATTACATATTTCATGTAAAAGTGTTCCGTAGTAATTGTAGGATCTTTGAGCAAAGAAATTTTATTCAATCACAAGAATTTAAAAGTGTATATCGTGTGAAGAAGTTTCACTCTTGTAATAAATAATAATGTATTAATATATATAAATAAATGTATATATTTGATTTATTAATTTATTCAAAACCAAAATACTGCACAATAAAAAAAATAGCAATCTACGGTCTTCGGAGACTAAATAAAAAAAATAACTTGTATAGGCCCCCGTGTCACTTCAGTAAAGGGAAAAATAAGAGAAGAGGAAAATTAAATATACGTCAGAACTATTATGTTAAGTAATAATTAGTTATTATGTGTCTTTTGACAAAATGCAACCAAAACAGTGAAATGAAATTTAAAGAGTAAATCAACATAAAAAGGCGGCAACAAAATTATGCAATATCTCGATATATGAAATTCAATTAATATGATAATTAGATCGAACCATATATTTATTATATGATTCTAAGGTGGGTCAATTGTTGATAAAAACTCAAATAACTTTTTCTAAACAAAACAATGTTAGCAATATGTTCTTTATGTTGCAAGGAATGGTATTGACCCACAGCTTAGGTCCAGCGAACAACAAATTTGACTGAAACATAAAGAATTGAAAACATAAATGGCGTGTCGTTCTGATGTTCAAGAAGCTCAGGCAGTTTTTAAAATATGCTGGTAGTTTGTTGTGAAGAAATTTGAAAACAAAAATAAAGGCATAATATGCGAAGGGTTGTTTCATTGTCAAAATCTTATTCACTGGAAATAGATGAATGACATGGTCTCTGTTTTTGAGTTTATAAAATATTCTAACAAATCTTTTCTGAATTTTGAACAAACGACTGATCAAGTAAGCTGGAGAGTTTCCCCATATAATGTTACAGCATGATAAGTACGGATAAATAAAGCTGTAATATAAGGTTATAATTAAGTTGCTATTTAATTTGGTTCAAAATATGTATGCCAATGATGCTGACAAATTTATTAATCTTATTGGTTGATGATTGAGTGTGTTCTGGCCCAAGGGGAGGCCTATTTACCATTATACAACACTTTCTTATGGGTTGAAGCAGGGATATGCAAAGAATCCCAATTTTTGTAACTTTTAATTATTTTCGGTAATGTCGATTTTATTTGTTTAAATTTATACCAAATAAAAGTAATTAATTACCATATTGAATAACAATTTAAAAAAATAAAATTTTAACATTTTAAATAAAAGCAATATTCCGTAATTAGTAAATATACTATCGTAACTTATGACTCGAACCATAAAAAATCACCCTCCATCTCCCCTCCAGAAGTAAGCTCCATGTTCGACCGTTGAAAGTGAGTGTTATATTTATTCAAGTTTTATGTATCAAACAGTATCTTATTGAACAAAATAGTATCATAAAATGAACAAAGATACTTTTTTTTAATTTAAAAAATTCTCAATTTGATTTCATTGCGATATCGAAGAAGATGATGATTGTGACCTGACTAATTAAAAAACATCAAATAAAATTTATAAAATAGGATGGGTATATCGTTGAGAAATCGTTGGGGGAAATGACGTCATGTTAACAGTAGTTATTTCACTAGATGGTAGTTGATCAGCCTGAATAAAGGTTGTATTCAATTCCTATCAAATAAATTTAACCAAATATCATACGCAGGCAAAACTAAATAAAGAAATATATACATATATATATATATATACATATATATATATATATATATATATACATATATATATATATATACGTAGTTATAATACATGTATAATATTGTATTCAAATTGTACAATTGTGTTATGTGTAGTTTCAAATTATTTTGAATTCTCTCGGAAAATTATATATATATATAAATATATATATATATATATATATATATGTATGTATATATATATGTATGTATATTTTACTTTTATCAACAAGTATTAAAAAATTTTCAATTTGATTTCACCGCGATATCGATGATGATGCTTTTGACCTGACTGATTAAAAAGCATCAATGAAAATTTTTAAAATAGGATGGAAATTTGTTATATTGGGATATTCGTATATAAAGCGAGCAAAAGTTTAATATAAAGGCGCTTATAAATCTACGCATATTGGCTCAGCTTGGCTTGGCTCGTCTTGAAATTGGATGTTAAGATAGGTGTGGTCTCAAACAATTTGGAATTCTCTCAGAAAAATTTGAACTGCGTGCGCACATATGTAGCATTGATTACTGCTGCTTTTATAATGAATTTATATATATATATATATGTGTGTGTGTGTGTGTGTGTGTGTGTGTGTGTGTGTGTGTGTGTGTGTGTGTGTGCATTAACTAGAATCCATGTATACAAATAATTAATAAGATTAAATGTTTATATGTTTATATAAAAAGCAATATAGCAGATTCAACCAGCCAACCAGAAAGTTTCGAAGGCGTTCGATCGTTGACGTCAATTTAGTACGGTTAGCATTGTTGTTAAGACTGTATAATAGTGTACTACATACATTAAAAAGGTTTTTTACTGATGTGAATGATTGAAATGATGCGAATGTATTGTTGAAACTAGTATAAATAGGAGCTGAGACAGCATGAAAACCAGATCAGGCATTCTGTCTCGCTTAAGGCTTGAAGCGGTCTGCCTGATCTAATTTATTTATTTTTTATTTTATTATATAGAGTTATATGGATTTATATAGAGTTGCGTTGCTATATATGTTTGTCTGTGGCTTGTATGTTTGTATTTTTTTAATTTTAGATGGGTTCTTTAGCGGTTGCTCATACATACATACATACATACATTATGTTTGTTTTTTGTGGTAGTATGTTATGTTCTGTTTTGCTCCTTTTTCTCTTTCTTCATGAGTCTTGAGTTAAGTTAATGAAACATAGGTAGGTGAGATTAAAAATTAATTTATTATATAGGTAGGCTAGGGCATAAGGTAATTTAGTTACATCGGTAGGTTAGGGACATCTATTCTTTTACTCTTACTTGGTGGTGTGTATTTTGTTTTGTGTTTTTTTTTGTTTTTTTTTTACACTATACCTTCAAAGTACACGGTGGTTTCTGGTTTTAGTGGAATTTTTATTGATTGAATTTGGCAGTTTGAATGGTTATATATAGTTTGCGCGGTTATATAGAGTTATATAGAGTTATTTAGAGCATAAATCCTATATAGATACCTTTTTTGAGGTTCTTTCCTTTGCCGACCGATCGGCTTCTTTGCGTTATTCTATTTTCATTTAAATTAATTAAATAAATAAGATTTTTCCATTTATTTAGGTTCATTTAGGTTCATTCAGGTTCATTCATTCAGGTTGAAGCTTCCAGAGGAGTTCATCGTGGAAGATCAGAATGGTTGTGATGCCAGGCTACGTTCGTTCATTCAGTGGCAAAGAATGCACGCCTGGCTGTGGTTCGTTTTACGTTTTTTTTGCGGTTCCTTTTTTTGCCAGTTGGCTGGCTTTTCTGGCTGGCGGGTTTCACTGCGGCTCGTTTCTCTATTTTCATTTAAATTAATTAAATAAATAAGATTTTTTCATTTTATTCATTTCATTCAGGCTATGGCTTCCATAGGAGTTCATCATGGAAGATATCAGGCCACGTTCGTTCATTCAGTGGCAAAGAACACACGCCTGGCTGGGATACGTTTTATTCCTAGCTGGGATACGTTTAATTCTTTTTTCTCTGTAATTTAACATTAAGTAAGAATGCATACACGCACACATACACACACACAATTACATTAAGTAGCTATATAGGTAGGTTAGGCATAATTTTAATTGTAGGTAGAATATATAGGAAGCATCCAACACTAATGTAGTTGAATAGGTGGGCGCGTAAGTTTATCGCTTCTATTTTTTCTTGCACCCACATTACACTCATCAGCGTATTACACACACACAAATACATACATATACACATACGTTAGTATTTGAGCGTAATTTTATTTTCATTACACATTCTAATTTATTATTACTAAGGTTGAGAGTAATTTAATTTCATAGGTTGTTAAGGGCAACAATGTAATTCTAGGAACAATCTTGTAATGTAAATTTAAACGCTGTGAGTGTATCGATAGGTAGGTTAATTATAAGTTTTATATTATTGTTATTATTATGTTGGAGCCCAAGGCATTACGTAGGTGGTGGGGTGGGTGCCGAAAGGCCAATGAATTGGGCTCTTGAGTTTTGTAATTTTAGGTAAGCTAAGGCCGTAATGTAATGAATAGGTAAGTTAAGGCTACGTTTTAGCACATACTCATTAATAGATTTAGGGTTTAAGTTTTATATTATTATTACTAAGTTGGAGCCCAAGGCATTACGTAGGTGGTGGGGTGGGTGCCAATTGGCCAATGAATTAGGCTCTTGAGTTTTGCAATTTTAGGTAAGCTAGGACTTAATTGTAATGAATAGGTAAGTTGAGGGTACGATAGCCGATAGACTCTGAATTTCGAAGTCTCTTGTCAGAGGTAAGCCTTGGTGGCCAGTGGTGAACCGGCAATGGTTTACTATCCGGACGGCAATGGTTTACTATCTGCACGGTAATGATTTACTATGCGGCACGACCATAGGCTACTACCCGCACGGCATCCGGACGGCAAATGGTTTACTATCCGCACGGCAATAGTCTACTATCCGCACGGCAATGGTTTACTATCCGGTGCCCTGGCTGTCGGTGAATCTCTGTGCAAGGAGGGAGAATGAAGGGGGACTTTCGACTATCGTACCATTAACAATTTAATATAGATTAGTTAAGGTAATTGAATAGGTAGATAAGATTATTTCTATTTAGCAATTTGAGATGCCGGCACCGC